ACATGTCAACAGTAAAGATATAAAGAGAAATTGAGTTTCAAAGAATTCCTTAGTGATCTATTGTAACCTGACTTTCTATTTCGAAGTGAAATGTCCTCATCGGAAAAGTAAATAAGAAAGTCGTGGAGTAAAGGCTGTCTGATTTTGTAAACAAGTCCTTGACCTGAGCTAAACTTTCGTCTATACCACCGTGATAGACGTCATTAGAGCAAGTATACATACTTTACGAAATAGTGCAAAAATATAATTTTTTCTCGGTATGGTTTCTCAATTTAATTATGTCTATCACGGATATACAGACGAAGTCTTAGCACATAATCATGATGTCGCAGAACTGTCAAGCGAAGACTCGTTCGCATTATCCAGCAGTATTTACTTCGCGACATTCATCCTTCGGTTTCCGGTGAGACGATTTCACCAATTTCTTCCAACCAACTTTTAATACGAAATTGACATTCTTGTCGAAATATGCCAACATCAACACTTTGGGCTGTTTTTATGAATCCTTATCTCGTTAGTTCCAGTCCATTGGTTGGCTATTCCATGATAGATTGAAGGATATAGACCTTGCTTTCTTGCCCAAATGCATTTGATAGGTTCTCTCATGGAATACCAAACAGCCTTTAAGCCGAAAACGTCTATGACTAAGGGTGTCTATGGTGGAAACGTATGGAAAAAAATGATCATGCTTTTATCATGAGCCATGAGGACATTTCCTCAGAACGAGCATTTTAGGCTCGAAAACATCAAGGAATCTCGATCGAAGGTGACAGTTTGAGTGACCTCCTCAAAAATGAAATTACGTCAAAATTTATGAAAATAATAGTTTACAAAATCCTCTGCATTTTGAGACTTTTCGCCTATGGAAAAGATGACTCAAGTTTCATGTATTCGAGCATTTTTTCCATCTTTTTCTGTCCATCTCAGACAATTGTAAGCCTACCGTGTGCTCGCCTGAGCCGACTTCTGACGATCTGGACATCGGTACTTTGCGTCGGCTTTGGTGCAGTCGTGTCTGCTTCAACTTGAACTGATTGTACACCGTTTTTGTGCCGATGTGAGCAGAAATTCCTGCAAGAATGGACCCGTCTGTTGCCGACTGTCTCTCAAGTATGTTCTTGTCAAGGGGCCTTTGAAGGCTGGAGTGACTAGCAATGATGGTACTTCGTAATGACTTATTGAGGCTTGAATGATCCGAGGCTAGACGGCAGGTTAGTTCAGGCGATGGGCCTATTCTTTTTGCAGTATTCAAGCTTGCAGTGCTTCCGCTTAACTCACCTGATTGAGCTGAGGGATAAGTGAGCAGATTGAAAGCCGACAACGACTTCTCATGCTCAAGACGCCAATTAGTATGGTTGCTAGGGCGATGCCACTTTTTGGGTGATAACACGAAAAATGATGATCCAAACAAACAATATATGGAAGCAAATTAAAGAGAAATAAGGGTACATGTTTTGGGATGTGAAGGAAATAGGTAAAATAGGGGATAGACGCAAAAATGGGAAGATATAATGAGAAATTCTAGACATTAGGAGTGATATTAATGTAGCAATTAATGAGTGAAGAAAACAAAATAATTTTTATCCCTCTTTGATTAAATGTTGATTAACTTCCTACTGTGAAACTGATATTCCGACTCATCTGGGTTAAGATTTCATCACAGCATTGGCCATTATTTTGCAACAACCAATTTAAAGCAGGTGTTGGAGGCCACATTTTAATAGGATTATTGGTTTATATGCCGAAATCCCTTCACTTTGACACTTAAAAACACTAACAAATTGCTTTCAATAAAAAAAGTGAATAGATGAGGCTGGAGAGTCTAATAAAATCTATCATTCAGGTTGGCAAGCAAGTAACTGGTCTGCAATACATTTTTTTGGATTGAGGCCTAAAAATCATTAAAAGAAAAAGAATAAAATAAGTATCGAGTTAAGGTGAACGAAATAACCTGTAATCTGGCAAGCGATCATAAAATATTGAATGAATAAACAAGTTTTGAGATCAACTACGGCTAGTTAATTAGGATATGAGCAGGATTCGAGACCGTCAGTAATCCTTGAAAAAGAGTCTGTCACGCTAAGTAGGTTAAGATGACTTTAAGACTCATAATTGAGTTTTTCCCCGAAATCAGATGACTAGACGTAATGTTTCAACTTTGGCTTCCCAAAGGTGCCTTTATTCGGGCTAGAGTGGACTGCAGTTTGGACTCTATCTGAATTGCTTTTGTCAGTACCGGCAGTGGGATTCGAACACCGATCGTGAGTATCATAAATGGGCTTAACTCCCCACTACATAACCACGAGCGCTAGTGGATAATAGGGCATATGCAATATTTAGAGAAGTCTGTCCTTTCCCAAATCACACGTTTTTGGTGGGATTGCCGATTAAGCAAACATTCGTTCACCATTGCAATCAACGATGTTACACATTATCGAAATACTCAAGTACCAAGACTATTAGTTAAGCTTGAATAAGAATTTAGACACAAAATGTTGCTGAAAACAAGGCTTGGTGTAAATTAACGTCCAATTTTGCGTGTGAAAATTAAATAAATAAACTTTGATTTTGCATTCTGGATTGGCGCAAGAAATGTCCTAA